ACCTGACAGGAGGCAGGGTGAAGAAGTGAATGCATCATCCAGAACTCCGGCCTATTTCGCAGGCTGGAGGCGGGCACCTACTTCCCCCGGCGGGAGTTTACTGTCGGGGATGTGCCTATGCCCATATGTGTTATCGGGGACGTGGTGTACCCCCTGCTGCCCTGGCTAATGTGGCCCTACACGGGGCAGCCGGACCAGAACCGGGCCCGGTTCAATGACCGCCTCCACCGGGCCTGCAATCACGTGGAGTGCGCATTTGGCCACTTGAAAGCCCGTTTCCAGTGTTTGCTCACCCGTCTCGAGATGGGTGAGCTCCACATCCCGGAGGTAGTGGCTGCATGTTGCATGGCTAAGATTGAAGCCATGTTTGTCAATATATATTCCATTATTCCTCCAGACACTATAGAAAACTACTGAGGCTTTCCTCAGTAGCACACAGTCAACCTGTGGAACTCCTTGCCAGAGGATGCGGTGAAAGCATTTAACAGGGTTCAAAAAAGAGCTAGATAGATTCATGGAGGTTAGGTCCATCAATGGTTATTAGCCAGGATGGGTAGGAATGGTGTCCCTAGCCTGTTTCTCTAAAAGTGGGTGACGAGGGATCACATGAGGATTACCTCCCAGGATTCTGGGCTGGATGGACCTTTGGTCTGACCCAGTATGGATATTCTTATGTTCTTAGGCTGCTGTGGAAACCTTTTATGGAGGCATCGGAAAGAGGGGAGAGAAGTACTTACACTAAATGCAGGGCAGCATGTTCTTTTCATTTTCTTGTTGACTTGTTACCACATGAGGCTCAACAAAAGCATCTGTTGAACAATTTAACAGACTCAGTCGTTGCTGAATCCTAAGTAAAAATGATTATACAAGCTGGGCCTACTTGAGAAACTAGAGATTTTCCATCTGAGAAGCCAATTTGAAAAGCATCCAGAGTGGGGCTCTTTATTCTCAAAGATCAATCAACAGTGTCCCCTCTGCCACTAGCAGGGTCCTGCCACCTTCCTTCATCCTGGCACTGCCACAGCCTTGGGCTGAGGTGGAGCGAGAGCCAGTCCTGGCCTGGGCGGGGGAGGGGTAGGAGGCAGCTGTTGGGCCTGTGAGGGCTCAGGAGCAGGAGGAGCTGGGGGAGAAGGCGGGATGGGGGGCTGAAGGAGAAGGAGCCTGGAGTGCAGGAGGAGTGGTGCCCGTGAAAGGGGCAGGCAAGGCTAGGACCTCCCGCATAGTGGCACAGATAGAAGTGTGCTGCTGGACACCTGGAGGATCAACTCCTGGGAGAGGGTCCCTGCTGCCTCCTCTTCGTCCTCCTCCAGGTGCAGGGGGGTGCGTGTGGGGGTGGGTGGGGGGGCCCCGGTTCCCCCCCCCCCCCATAAATCTCCCTCACAAATTTTACTATTGTTTTTGTTTTTCGGCCCTTTGTTGTTCCCCTTTTTTTTCAACAAGTTTTCCTGCTTTTTTGGAGGGAAGAGGGGCGTGAGAGTTTCTCAAAAATCAAAAAGGGGGCGTGATACCAAAAAGTTTGGGAACCACTGGTCTAGACATACCCTGGAGCAGTCTCATCACAGATTTTGTAGTACATGCATTAAAGGAATGGCTGTTACATATGTGAAGGAATCCCAAAGAACTCATTTAGTAAACCAGTTATTCTTAGAAAAGAAACCAGAATTCCTTCAGCAACAGCAAATCTTTGGTGCTTCTCAAAGAAAAGAAAGAGCTAGTAAGCCCCATCAGTCTTTAGTGGAAACCATGAGGGTGAATTGGGCACATGCTTAGGTCAAATGGGCATTGCTGTCGGAACTCTTCAGAGACGTGCGTTGTACTCCTGAAGTGGAGTACTTATATTGGCATGTATCTCAAACAACTGTAGTTACTTTACAAGGTAGGTGACTTCTCCCTCTTGTGTAGTGAGTTCTGTATATCATCTCCTCCTCTCCAGAGCAACAAGATGAGAAAATCCTTAAATACTATTAAAACTCTAACATCATGCCTCCATCATTCACTATTCAACTAGCGTTTTTGTCAAAACATGACCTACAAGGTGGGAAAAATAATATGCCTATTATTATTGCTTTAATAATAAAGTAGATGTAGATGGTGCTTGAAAGGTTTGTTTACTACTTGTTTCTTACATTAGAAATGTGGGTCATGTGTTTGGAAAACTTTGTGATGACTAGAGAACTAGTGAAAGGTTGACAACACAAGAGCCAAAAGTGGGAAACCATAGTAAATGAAAGGGGAAAGAAATTGTAAATCACCGTGCTAAAACTTTCTGGCTACGTCTAGACTGGCATGATTTTCTGGAAATGCTTTTAACAGAAAAGTTTCCGTTAAAAGCATTTTCAGAACAGATCATCTAGATTGGCACGGACGCTTTTCCGCAAAAGCACTTTTTGTGGAAAAGCGTCCGTGCCAATCTAGATGATCTGTTCTGAAAATGCTTTTAACGGAAACTTTTCTGTTAAAAGCATTTCCAGAAAATCATGCCAGTCTAGACGTAGCCAGAAAGTTTTAGCACGGTGATTTACAATTTCTTTCCCCTTTCATTTACTATGGTTTCCCACTTTTGGCTCTTGTGTTGTCAACCTTTCACTAGTTCTCTAGTCATCACAAAGTTTTCCAAACACATGACCCACATTTCTAATGTAAGAAACAAGTAGTAAACAAACCTTTCAAGCACCATCTACATCTACTTTATTATTAAATAATATAAAAAAAGTTAAAGTTAAAAATATTTATGACCCATAGGATGTGGATGCATTGGAGAGGGTCCAGCAGAGGGCGACCAAAATGATTCGGGGGCTGGAGCATATGACCTATGAGGAGAGGCTGAGGGAGTTGAGTCTGTTCAGTCTACACAAACGAAGAGTGAGGGGGGATTTGATAGTAGCCTTCAACTTCCAGAGAAGATGGAGAAAGGCTGTTCTCAGTAGTGACAGATGGCAGAACAAGGAGCAATGGTCTCAAGTTGTGGTGGGTGAGGTCCAGGTTGGATATTAGGAAAAACTATTTCACTAGGAGGGTGGTGAAGCACTGAAATGGGTTACCTAGGGAAGTAGAGGAGTCTCCATCCCTAGAGGTGACAAAGCCCTGGCTGAGTTGATTTAGTTGGGATTGGTCCTGCCTAGAGCAGAGGGCTGGACTTGATGACCTTTTGAGGTCTCTTCCAGCTCTATGGTTCTATGATTCTATTATTTTAATCTAGTTTGGACAGCAACTTTGACTCACCCTCCCAAAGTGCAATCCTATTGCATGTACTTCTAGTCCTCCACATCACTCATGGCCTCCTTCTTTACAGTGAGAAAGACCTTTACAAAGTTTTCCACTTTAAAAAATGCTATGATTAAGTGTAGTGTACATATGCCCTTTAAATTGTTAATTGTCTGGCTGTAAATCTAAATTTAATAGTGAATGGAGTACTTTAGAAGGTTGTGCTGGCTGTATAAATTAAAACAGAAAATTCTTAAAAAGAACAGAATGCATTAATTGACATAATTTTGGGGTTTGATCAGAGTTTACATCTGTTAGTAAATTTAAATGATGAGATAAATGGTATTTAAATGGCAGAATGTGAGGGCATATCCTTTACATAATTACTTCAAATGCTTTTTATAACTTCAGGATTTGTGCTTGAAATAATAGCTGTATGCCATTGCAGCCTGACAGTCTGTGTGCTGTAATACTGTCTTCATGATGGCTTTCACCTTGTTGAAGAGGACATTCATTAGGTCTCCCTTTTAACTTATAATGATAATTTAATCAAAGAAGAGTGCATAGGAACACTAACTTGAATGATGTGAGAAAATGTAACAGCATCTACAAGCAATGTTGTTGTTGTTTTTTTGAAGTGACTTATGACTGCCACTGAATTCTTGATCTTGAAGTACCCATGGATGAGGGTAATTTTGATAAAATGTGTGGTATAAGTTAGAGGCAAGTTGAAAATGTTACATTTTTACCTTTAAGAAAATATTTTTTTAAATGATCCAGTGTGAAAATTGAATGGCATGGTTAGAAATACCTTTTTAATTGTTTGATGTCAATATGTGTTCAGTCTGTGATGGGATGTGAATGCTGTTTGTGTTAGAGCCTAAACAATTTTGATCATCACGGGGCTCTATCTTCATGGAGTTTTCAAGGGCTCTACAACCTTTGACCTGCCTTGGATCACCAGTTCTGGAGCTGCTCCTTACTCCAGAGCACATGCAGCCCCATGGCTCTTGCTATATAAAGCTGTTTCCAGGCCTTGCAGATTTCCCAGCAGTGTGGGAGGGAATGCTGCTTTACATAGCTGACTGTCTGTTAAGGAGCCTTAAACTGAGGTATCCCAGCTGATAGTGGGATAGCAAGCAGGCAATATACAGTTGTCAGCACCTCATCTTCCCTAAACCAATGTTCAGCGGATACTCGAGTTGGGGAAAAGTAGTGAAGCATCCCATTCCTAGAGAGACCCTATCTACAACTGTAGTGAGTAGTAGTAATAGTGCCTAGGGCTGCTGTAACACCATTCCCTGTGCAGTCCCAACACGGGCAGAAGAATGGGAATAGGGCTGTTTTGGTGGTTTGGGAGGTTTATATATAAGATCTCGGCTGCTGATCATGTAACGGGTTGTTGATGTTGAATTATTTGTGCACATTAATAGTAAATAGAAAGCATATGACTCTGTGCTCAGTCTCTTTACCTTACATGTCCCACAAGAACAGACATGCACTTGGCTGCTTTCAGGTCCACAAGCAGGTACTGCATTCATCCTAGACGCACTTATCCATAGACACTATTTATACCTTAGGAAGGTTATTGAATTTTCCAGAACCTGGACGATTTAGCCGCTCTGTATGCAATTATATTTTAATCACTCTCTAAAGGGTTCCTCATCCTACAGGATATTTCATTTCTGACACCCAAATATCTTGGCACATATAAACTTGCTGTTCTCTCACATTTGCGAGTGATTATTATTTTGAAATTGTGAATCATAAAATATGAGTTTTTGGGGAAAATTTGGGCATGTTGCAAAGCCTGGCTACTACTTTGTATTTGTCCTTGTCCCACACTGATGCCTTAGCGGATTAAGATGTATGTCAACAATTGTCATATAAGGGACTTGATGTAGCTCGTGGTACAAAAATCCCCACATGGACTAACCCTCCAAATCAGAAACAATGTAGCCCCAGTCAGCAATTTAAATATTTTTCCAGTAGGGTGAGCTGATTCCAGTGACTTTTGCTCTACTTTTCTTCCCTCTGAGTAGCCCTGCTGCTAGGTTTGGAAAGTCCTATACTGTAAAGTTGGAACCCTGGAAAAATAAAGACAAAAACTGCAAGAAGAAGTTCAAAAGAAATAAAGACTAAGAATGAAGTTTTCAAGCTATGTTCCAAGGCAAGGACTTTTCATCTTTAAACCTTTGAATTGTGAATCAAGGCAGTAAAACTTACTACTAGGTTAAAGTTTAAATGGCATAGAAAAGGTAGGAAAAAGATTAAACATATTCTGTCTGGACAGTGGAACAAAGACTTTGAATCCTTGTCTATGCACCTGTCTATAGAGTATCTAAGTTCCAGGAGTCCCACAGAGGACATGCAATGAGCACTCTTATTGTTCGTATTAAGAACTGAAGTAATTGAAAGGAAAAGTAAGGTAAGGAAAATCAGAAATCAGATGTGACTGCCTGTATGGTTAAAAAATAATTTAAAGGGAAAGTGACTATCAAGCAGTTCATATTATGGAAATATGACCATTGAAGATAAAATAAAAAAAATCTATTATTCTTTGAAAGAGTTTTTTTTCTCTCCAAGACTTAAATATCATTTGAAAGCCAGCAAGGTTCACTGAGCTCCTTACTGGCCAGTTGTAAGAAAATCTTTCAAATATATATTTTTATTTAATGTTTAGATTGATAATGTTAAAGATGGATGCCGAAGCATGGGAGGAGGTTATTTTGTTTTCTTTTTTTTCCTGAAGTAAATTTGAAAGTCTTTGGAATTGAGTAAACATATTTTACTTTGTTAAATTTACTTCAGCTGCCTTTTTAAAAACACCACTTTCAAATTCCAAATTTACCTTTATGGAACAGCTCCGTGTTGCTAAAAGAACGATAAATGTAATGTTTCATAGTCTGAGTTAATCAATTGTGGCATTCACTCAGATCTGAGTTCTTTTGGAATAGTCTTATTTCACAAAAATATCTTGTCTGCCAATTCAGCTGTCTGCTGTGTGGGAAAACAGAGTTATTAGAACATGTTATAAAGAACAGGTGCTTAAAGAGATTTTTTTTAATGAGAGCTTTGAATCATGATGAGTGCAAAGCTACTAAAT